TACCCACAACCCTACTTCCATAATTTACAGCAGATATTCAAAGATTCAACAGATAATAAATAATAATAATAATAATAATAACAAACAACAATAATAATAATAATAATAATAATAATAATTATTATTATTATTATTATTATTATTATTATTATTATATAATAAATAATAATTATAATAAATAATAATAAATAATAATAATAATAATAAATAGTAATAATAATAACAAATAATAATAATAATAATAATTATTATTATTATTATTATTATTATATAAATAATAATTATAATAAATTATAATAATAATAATAATAATGATAATCATAAAAATAATAATAATATCACACTATTATACTGTATGTGTAAGCATCATATTGCTCATTGCATAAAAAAGAAAATAATCAATTTAGAGTCTTTTATACAGAAATTTAAACACAGTGCCTGGAAGTTCTGATAAACTTTAATAAATATTAGTGTTTCGGGGTTTTTCTGTGTGAAGCACCATCATGAATTAAATGTGAAAGAGACTTACCTGCTGCCATTTGCAGGAGCATCAGCGCAGAAATCAGCAACATTTCTCTAATCATCTCCATCTGTAAAGTCTGACCACAACTGGCCGTCCATCTGTAATTATCTACATGTGCAGCGAGATTCACAAGAAGCTGAGCAGAAATATCTGTTTCTCTGAGGAAGGAGGACGTTTCTTTTATACACTGAAGGCTGATGCAACTGCACTTAGAAATGAGTAAATGTAGAAGTAACATTTATATTTAACTTGTTGCAACACTAGAGCCCCGTCCACAGAAGCTTTTAGCTGTTTGCACAATAATGTTGTAATGTATAGACATTTTAAGCTCATCATTCAATCTTTTTGTTTACTTATTTATATCATTCATTCATTTTCTTTTCAGCTTAGTCCCTTTATTAATCTGGGGTCGCCACAGCGGAATGAACCACCAGTAAATACACAGTATATTATATTAATTAATATTAATTTCACTAATATTACGAAATCACATGCAAACTTTGTGATGGTTTACATACAATGCAGATTTGCAAAGTAATATTTTCTGTCTTTTACAGCGCTCAGCATAATTGAGAACAGCCCATTTTGAAGATGAATATGTTCCTCCATTTCTCAGTGAATATATGCAGTGTGTTTTGCTGCATTTAAACAAAACAGATTTATTGAACAGGTATATTTAATACAATAATATTTTAGTCACCAATTTACAAATGGAAAGACAATACAATTTGCAAAAATATTGCAAAAAAATTACAAAATACAAAATGTCAACTCAATTTTCCATATTTTTGCTTCTTTTGATTTTTTTCTCTTTTTAAAATTTGTATGTAATATTTTTCTCTAACATATAAATGTGTCTGTGCTAGTTTTTGGAGCGTTGTTGTAAATTATTTAGTTAGATGAGCTCCAGAATTGGCTTCAGCACCAACTAATTTAATGTATATGCACACATATAATATTGTAGAGCTTCCTATTAAACATATCAATTAAAAGAGAGATTAGTGAGGGGTGAACTCATATATGCTGAGCCCTGTATGTGAGAAATTTGCTATTATATGAGAGAGTTGCATTGTAAACCATAATGAAAAGATTACTATACTCTCAAAATAGACTTTCAAAGTACTGTGAATGAGTAGTTTAATT